ATTGACTTAGTATTCGTTTAAAAGTTTAGCTTAGTAAGAAAATAAAAATAAAAAATTTAAGTGGAGCAAGAGTTAAAAGGAAAACAAAGTTTTTAGTAGAGTAAATTAGAAAGTAAATTATTTATAGAGTACGTACATAAGGTAGTTTTTAAGAGGGTTATAAGGAAAAAAAAAAATTAGGTAGACACACATTTGAGAAAATATGATATCAGTAAAGCTATTAGAAAAAAATATTTTATAAGAGCCGCATTTGGCAAAAGAATATTTAGTAGGTTCATATGTGAGAAAAATTAATTAAACGGAGAAAAATTAGAGTAATTTTATTTATGAGAAACTTGAGAGTAAAATTGAGAAAAAGAAAACCATGTGTAAATATGCCAATAAGAAAAAGTGTTTCGAGAAACACATAAAAGGGGATCAAACTACAAAATAGCCTTCAACAAAAAGGAAAAAATAGGGATATATTTAAAATAAATTATTTTAGTGAGTGGAAAGCAAGGAAAAAATATTTCAAAGAAACACATGTAAACAAAATTAAATTGTATAGAAACTTAAAAAAAAAAACAAATAGAGAAAAAAAAAAGGGAAAAAGATAACGTCCTTGTGTTAAAAAGAAGGAGAATTCTCCTTGTAGTGGCAAATGTTAAAATGAACAAAAAATCCTTTTTTTTTTTTTTGACTCTTTTATGTATGTTAGATATTAAAGATTAAAAATAGATTTTATATTATGTTTGTTCATGAATAAAAATATTTTTCCATTTAAATCTCATTTTATAGTGTTGATAAATTTTTTCAACTCATAATTTACTATGATTATGGTAACTTATTTAGGTTTATTATGTGGTGTTACTTTGTTGTTATATATATATATATATTTAATGGTATATATAACTTTTAGGGGGTCAAATATGAAATATTATAGGCAGATTAAGTTTGGCATCTATAACGGGCTTAATGTCATATCAATTTTAAGAGTCTACACTGGAGGCATATGGCGTCCTGAAAGTGAATATAATTTTTTTTATTATTGTGTTGTTCGATAGTTTATCTCATTTGTGGATTTTTTGTTTTTGTTTTTTTTTTTGTTTTTGGAAAATGGGATCATTTGTGGATTTACATGCATGTTAATTAAAAAGAGTACACAAAAAATCCTTCATATTCTTTAATACAAATAATAGATTGATTTTTTATTTATTGTAATGATTAAGTTATTATCAGTCGTATTTTTTACAAGATTAATGATTGTAATATCTGTTCCAATTGAGAGAAATTTTCGCCTCTATATTTTTAAGAAAATCTCTAAAAAAAAAGATGGTAATAATATATAGTCTTCTTTAGAAGAAAAAATATATATAGTTGAACGCTGGTGGGCAAGAAAAAAAAATTGAACACTAACATACGTCAAAATTTTAGATAAAGTATATGAAGTTTGAAATGAATATCATCAAAATACGACAGTTTCATAACTCCTCATATTGATTGTCATTTTTTTTTTTTTTAATTTGTCGACCATCATTTTTTGTGCTCAACTGGTGTTTTCTCTTTTTTTCTTTTATTTAAGTGCAAATAATACAACAAAGTGATACAAGCATGAGATTAACATCCGAGTCGTTCGGAATTATGCACGTGATACATGAGGATTTAACCCAAAAAATAACAATATCTAATTTCATAGGATTAATTATTATGATAAATGTCTATCACATGCGGCCGCTGCTCGTAAATTGCAACACGCACCCCGATATTTTAATTGCAACACATACCCCGATATTTTAATTGCAACACACACCCTTACTGTGATAAGTTTGGATATTTTTTTAATCAACTAGTGTGTTTGGTTATGATTATGTTTTCAAGATTAGTTTTTTTTTTTTTTTTTTTTTTTGAATAGAAGATTAGTATTTTTAATGAAGCTTTGTATTGTGTTTCTCGTTGTAATTATTACCAAAACACATTATAGGCAAAGATTTTGGACCAGTTGACACTTATCCCCTAAAAATTTTGAGCGTGAGATTTATTTGTTGGTTTAGCCAGTATTAAAACAAAAATTTTGTACATTTAATAAATGCAAAGTTTTTTTTTTCACACGACTTCAAAATTTGCATTCAACTACCATACAACATTAAAATATGATCAAGTTTTCCATCCATACAAATAAAATCTAAAATTATTAGGCATTGTTCATTTGATGACTCTAGTAATATTACTATAACGTTTTTTCTTATAAAAATTCAAATTTAACTTTTTTACTATCATATTTTTTTCTCACACATACAACTCAAGTTATGACTTGAGTTGTACAAATGAACATACCCTAGTGTTATAAGGTAGGCTTTACTATTTGAAAGCTTACAATAATAATCGTAGAAACCATGTGCATTTATTGTCGGTTTAATCAGTTTAAGAACACTAAACTAATAGAAAACTAACACAAACAATAGTGGTAAAAACCGACTAATAATCCAAAAATATCAATGGTTTGATTCCATTTGATTCAGATCAGTTGGTTTTCACGGTTTGTCATTTTTTAAACACCTCTAGTTCATGATTCAAAAATTGATCAACTTAAGGTATTGTTCATTTTATGACTCAAGTTATATTGTTACAGTATTTTTTCTCATAAAAATTTAAATTTAACTTTTTATTATAGTATTTTTTCTCATATACACAACTAAAAACATGACTTGAGTTGTACAATTTAACTAATAAACTAGCCGATAATAGAGAGAGTTTATTGCAAAGAATGAGAACAGAGAGATTTTTTAGAGTTTTTAATTTTTTTAATATATTTAAAGAAATTTTCAAAATGTGAGTTTTAAAAATGATAATTAATTAATAAAAATAATAATTTTAACATTTTATGTCTCAAAAATCAACTATAATGTATTAAAAAAGGTTTTTAAAAATGTGTACCACTAAATAAAAAAAAAATACAGCATCAAAAGTAGATTTTAGATACAACACTGGGAACTAGAATGAAATTTTTTCTTTTGTAAAACTAGAGATAAGGCTTTTATTAATCACGTCCTTTTGCACTGAATTTAAATATGCAGAGTGAACGAAATAACTAGCCAATGAGGACGAGAGTAAACATTTGTTGCGAGTGGACTGCAGAGTGAACACGAAATAACTAGCCAATGAGGACGAGAGTAAACATTTGTTGCGAGTGGAAACGATTATTTTTTTATTTTTAACAAGTAAAACGAAATATAGATGCTAGCAACACGAAAGCCCCTCCAAAATTATAGCTATTAGGGGTGGGTCCTACAGAAAGGACAAATTGACGAGCTCACTCTGACAACTTTTCCATGAAATCAAAACAAGACAGACGACGTGGTTCCTTCTCATTCGTGAGAAAAGGGGAACAGCAAATTCTTCTTCTTAAACCCACCCACTTTGACCACGCTCACCAGAATCACGCGCGAGTGTGCGTTTCGTCAGATTTTCCTAATTTAGGACCTTTATTTGTTGCGTTACTTTTTTATTTATTAACTTAAAATTTTGATTAATAGAAACAATTTTAGAGATGTTTGGTTCATGAATTAAAATTATAAGATTAAAATTATTTTTAATTTATGTGTATTTTTTATGAAAAAAAATACTGTAATAAATTATAAATTATAATTCAAATCAAGGTATAAATTTCTTTTCCAAATATCCCTAAGATTTTGCATCTTTCTTTTTGGTAGGACGACGAGCATTCAGAATTATACTGAAAGCAGTTTACATTTGTTGATTATTAAATATCAAATACTGAAATAAGATTTAAAAAAAACCTAAATTAATATCAATAAAGAAAAAATTGTACGTTAATCATTGCTTTTTTTACATGAGTCTCATCAAACAATACATAAAATAATTAGGAGAGGTTGTCATGTGGCAGTCTCCTTATTTATTTTTTTATATTTTAATTTTTTATATATTTTTTTAAAATATATTGTTCTTCATTTTATTTTTATGAGAATAATTTTTTTTACATGTATTCTTATTTTAAATTTTCTTTAAATGTGTCTTTATTTAATATTTTCTTGTCAGTTGTTATTTTTACACACATTTCTTTTTAAATAAATTCAAAAATTCTTAAATAATTGTATAAATAAATTTTTCATTACTCGATAAATAATAAATTTTTCAGACGTCTCTAATACGATAATACATGCTGAGCACGTTATAAAAGTAGTTAATAAAAAAGAGCACAAGAAACACACATAAAAAATTTCTAACAATACTATTTTCTTAAAAAAAAGGGACTTTTAGGAAAAGGTCACTATTAAAATTTATGAATGGTTTTGGCAATAGAAAAATGAACTTTTAGAAGAGAAAAAATGACAAACAAATATGAAACACCCAAATCCTTGACAACATCATGTGAGCAAGAAATATGGTAATCCAATTTCATCGGTAATTTACTGTGATAAAAATAGTTTTCAATTATATAATATGTAAATTAAAAAAAATACTAACACCTATCTTCATTGATTCTGAACAATTGAACATTTTTTAATGAGAAAATTGCTAAACTTAATATTTGATTGTATGAGTCTAATTTTTTATTAATACCTAATTATTTGATTAAAAATGATATTAATCAAGAGTACAAGGTGAAGATTCAAACTCATTCAACGTAAAAATTATTTGTCTCCTTTCTCCCTTTATTATTATTATTATTATTAACATTAAAAATGAAAAAAAAATGTAACGAAATATGCAATGTTGCAACATTTTTCTATATTCTACCATAAAACATTTCTTTCTAAAAAAAATTCTGTAAAACTTTTAAGAGGCTTGCGCTAGAAAGTAAATCGTCCATTTCCACATCTACCAATTCAACAGTTCCATAATTCCCAACTTCTCCTCTTTCTTGCGTACAAGAAACTCTTTTTTTTTTTTTAATACATATTTTCCAAAAAAGTTAATATAATCCGATAATAATAATAATTTCTCACCAATCACAAACCCGGCCCATCCCCCTTTTGCCTTTATAAGCCACCACTATTATCCCACTTTCTCATACGCACTTCCCTCCCCAAAATCATTGACACTCCCATACGAGAGAAACGATCACTGTGGCGAGAGATATGGGTTCTTTCAGATCCTCATCGGCCATATCCATGGCCTTCCTCATCTTCGCGATCTTCACCTTATCGTCGGCTCTTGACATGTCGATCGTCTCCTACAACCTCGTAGATCAGTCCAGTTCCAGGACCGACGACGAGGTTATGGCGATCTACGAGGCGTGGCTTGTCAAGCACGGCAAGGTCTACAACGCCCTAGGCGAGAAGGAGAAGCGGTTCCAGATCTTCAAGGACAATCTCAGGTTCATCGACGAGCACAACGCTCAGGACCGGCCATACAAGCTCGGTCTAAACCGGTTCGCCGATTTGACCAACGAGGAGTACCGGTCAACGTACCTCGGCACGAAGATCCGCGGCCAGAAGAAGGTCAGCCAGCGGTACGCGCCGCGCGTCGGTGATGACTTGCCTTCCTTCGTCGACTGGAGGAAGGAAGGTGCCGTTGTTGGGGTCAAAGATCAAGGAAGCTGCGGTGAGTTCCTTTGCTAAGCTATTACTGTTTTTTTTATTTATTTTCATTTTTATTGAAATTTTATAATTAATTTTTTTAGCTCGTGTATATTTGATGCCTTTTTAGAGAATTTTCTTTTAAAAGAAAAAAAAAGTTTTAAGTCTTGAGATTACAGATCGTTTATTTTATAATTAGTTTAGAATTTAAATTTTACTGTGATAAAAAAATTCTTAAAAATAATTAGGTCTACAGTAAATTTTTTTTACATAAATCCTATCTTAACTTAAATTAAAAATTTTAATTAGTAAATTAAATGAACTCAATTTTCGACAAATTATGTTATACGAGATAATTACTGTTTATTACTTTTTTTTACGTGTTTGTCAGAAATAATTGATTATTACCTTTTCCCTTTATCTTAAGGATTAAAGTATGATCCTTGAAAGATTTTATTGCCTAAAAAAACAAAACGGGATTTAAAAGAAGAAAACTTTGCGGTAGGGTATGAAATATTTGTTACCGAAATTTTGTTATATTTCCGAAACACAAGTACTGTGTTATTTTTTATCCTTAATCATTAAGGAGAATTATATGACGTAAAAGCATTAAATTTTTATCAAAGTTTGATCTTTTAAAGTACTAATGATATAGAAATTTCTCAAAGATAGAAATTGTTGGGCGTTGGCTCGTTTCAGTTAGTATTGACTTTCGCTTTTGTGGAGCCATTCTTTCTTCCTAACTGAATATTTTATTTTATATTTATTTACTTTTTATTTGAAGGTTTCTCTTTTTGTAAAATTATTCCTAACTACATATTCATTCATTGATTTAATTTTTATTCAAGGGTAAAAATAAATAAATTTTTTAATTTTTTGCTGGGGAGATATTTTTACTAGTTGTATAAAAGAGGTAAAATAAAAATTAGTATAGTAAGTATTTATTTAGGTAATTATAAAGAAAATATCTATTTTAGGCTGGAATGATGAGCCATTCCTAAAAATGACTTAATAGGAAAGTATTATTAATAAAATAACTTATTAAAAATTTTTATTCCATTTTAGGAACCACCAAGAATATTTACTTTTTACATAAAACAATAACTGGATGGTCATTTTTTTAAAAAAATAATAAAAAAAGACATTTTGTGAATTTTAATTTTTAGATAGTCATTCTAGCAAATTTCACGTTTCTTTGAGCTCGGGACATGATGAAAGGGGCCACTAAACGTTTAGGCTTGTAGCTTTCCACTCCCGTTGGCTCCCCGGCTGCATAAAATAGTGTGTTAATGGGTATAGGCCACGCTTGTCTGAAGGAGATGTACCTACATGCCCCACTCAATTAATTGCTAACCTTTATTTAGTAGTAGACACTTTGCGTGAAACCAGTAATAGTGGACCAAAGTTTGTAGACGTGCAGATATTTTAGAATTCCCTTCTTTTTCAAAGTTATAATGGAAAGCACGGGCATTTTATTTTTTCTGATATTTAATTTCAATCTGAAATTTGTAATAGAGCTATAACCGGTTAGGAACTCAGGATGTAGGAGATTAACCCAGACATTGAATAAGAAATAAAAGCATGACTAGCACAATGTGGGTCAGCTTCTACTGGGTGCATTGAGAAATGAAATTTTGCCTGTAACTTGCCTATAATAAAGAGCGAATGAGAAATGGAACTGCTGTTGAGTTCCTCCGGGAATGCACTTCTTTGTTCCAAATTCTGGGAGAAAAGAAAAATTGTTTTGTTTTCCTTGCCTTGTGAAGTGTGCTATAATTTTCTTTTTAACGATTGGGTGTATAAAATTGAAGGGAGTTGCTGGGCTTTCTCGACAATTGCTGCTGTTGAAGGAATAAGCAAGATAGTTACCGGTGACCTTGTCTCACTATCGGAACAGGAGTTGGTTGACTGTGACACTTCATATAACGAAGGATGCAATGGTGGTCTCATGGACTATGCTTTTGAGTTCATCATCAAAAATGGTGGTATTGACTCTGAAGAAGATTATCCTTACAAAGGTTATGATAGCAGATGCGACCAGTACAGGGTTTGTATTTGTTATATCTAAAGCATATAAAGAAAACAACTTGGGCTAAAACTAATTCAAAAAGATTTGAAAAGAGAGAAGATTTGTGCTCATCGGTTTGATGCTTTGTCTTCTGCAGAAAAATGCAAAGGTCGTTTCCATTGATGATTATGAAGATGTTCCTGCAAACGACGAGAAAGCATTGCTAAAAGCAGTTGCAAATCAGCCCGTAGCCGTTGCCATTGAAGGAGGTGGCAGGGCTTTCCAGTTGTATGTGTCGGTAGGTTTTTCTCGTTCAAATCCAAAGTTCTTTTTCACTGCGCAATGATCAAGCATCTCATATTGATCTTTTCTTCTATTGAACCATAACTTTCATTTTCTGTAAAGTGGGTCGTGCTTTAGCTTTAAACATCATATGCTATACCCGGGTGCCCCTCAGATGAATTTGTTCGTAAAGGCTCTTACTTTGAGGGCGCTTAGTTAATGATCTTGTCAGGTATCTAATAGAAGATATTAATGTCTTTCTCAATTTCTTCAGGGTATATTCACCGAAACCTGTGGGACTTCACTGGATCATGGTGTTGCTGTTGTTGGGTATGGAACAGAAAATGGTCTTGACTATTGGATTGTGAGGAACTCGTGGGGTTCCAACTGGGGTGAGGACGGCTATATCAGGATGGAGCGTAATCTCGCCAGCACTCCAACGGGCAAATGTGGAATTGCAATTGAGCCCTCTTACCCTATCAAGAAAGGCCAAAATCCTCCAAATCCCGGCCCTTCTCCTCCAAGTCCGGTAAAGCCTCCAACAGTCTGTGACAACTACTATTCATGCGCGGACAGCGACACCTGCTGCTGTGTCTTTGAGTGGGGAAGGTATTGCTTTTCCTGGGGATGCTGCCCACTTGAGGCTGCCACCTGCTGTGAAGACCACAACAGTTGCTGCCCTCATGACTATCCCATCTGCAACATCAATGCAGGGACATGCTTGATGGTAAGAGCAACTGAACTTCTCTATCTCCCTCCCGTTCTTAGCTTTACTAGAGCCAAGCGGTTGGGATATTTCAACATTATACCAAAGAGAGATTATGCTGTTTTGCACATTTTCCGTTTCATTTTTAGCAAAGAATTTGTTTCTCATTACATGGTTTCCTGATCCAACAGAGCAAGGACAATCCCCTGGGAGTGAAGGCATTGAAGCGCACCGCTGCAAAACCTCACTGGGCTTTCAGACTCGATGGAAAGAAAAGCAATGCTTAAGCAAACACATTCAAAGCTTTTATGCCAGTGTAGCCAAAGCTAGGAAGGGTAAAAGAATCCGAGTATGCTTTTGGAGTTCTCCTTGGTTTAGCATACTCCCATTTCCACCGTCAAGACAGACGGGTTGAAATGCTTATCAAGATTAATTTCAGTTGCTGATATTTGTACATAAAGCTCTTTATTTATGGGTTGCATATGAACTTACAGACAGATATTGTTGTAAGCTGCAAAAGTTCCCTGTAAATTTTCATAATTCCTCATTTCCCCTTATCAATTGCACCATCATTGTAATGCTACTCGGACTTTGTTCAATACTAAATGGCATTATCCCTTCAGTTTCTCAAATCCCAGTCAGTTTAGAGAGTTCATATCTCCACATTATTTTATGCCAACAATTAACGCATAAATGAATCTTAGAGGCTTGATGTCTGCGCATTCTGGTTATATTTCTTAGGCGATTGGTCCTTACTGGCAATTAGAAAATGGCAATGTTGTGGCTCTTTTAAGGTTGCATCGTTGAATATTGCTCTTGGCAAATTATGCAACTTTGTCAGGAAATCTCTCCACTCCAAGGAGTTCTATTTTTCTGTTTTTTTTTTTTTTTAAACGATCATTTCGGTCTACTTTCATAAATTAGATATAAATTGGTTGCTGTTTCCAGATCTTTTTCCAAGGGACCCTAAAAAATAATAAGGGCCCTAGTTGAGCGAATTCCTTCTTAATTAACAAAACTGAAGTTGCATGAAAAAGTATCCTTGAAAAAGAAAAAAGAAAAAAAAAAGTTGCATGATAAATGTTTTAATGTTTCATTAGTCTACAACGTTATGATATTTCCTACCGATTAATTTCATTGAACCGGTCGTCCTTCTAACCAAAAATAAAATAAAACAAATACCGGTCATCCTCACTAATTAACTCTGGGGAATATGAAATTCACACGCCACCGTAGAAGAGATACTTTGAGTATCAAAGTTGTCTACGAAATTTTAAATTGTTAATTGATCAAGCATCTTTTTGGTCAAATACTGACTTTTGCGCCTGGTTGATGAATTATTTTTCTTTTGTTTTTCAGCCAATAAAAGAAGGAAATAGAAAAGTATTAAAATTTCACTCCAAAAACAAATTGGTACTGAAAATTTTATACTTGTATTGTTATTAATTACACTATTAATAACATGATAAGGTCGGTACTGTTATAAAGCGTTGATGTGGTCCTTTTTCCTGCAAAATTGTACTGTTTCAATACATGCAGTGGCCAAGGAAAAATAAATAAATGCATTTGCAGGATGTTTAGTTTATAGATTAGAATTATGAGATTTACGTGTATTTTTTGTGAGAGAAAATACTGTAACGAATCATTAATCATAATTCGAATCGGTGTACGAACCCCCCAACTAAATAAGTTTTTAGTTTTGCAGAGAAACCGGTCTGATTAGATTTTATCTAAAATAATAACACAATTCAATTTTTTCTTTTTCTCTTTCACACAATTCAATTATTTCGATCAGAATAAACGATAACTACAGAGTAGATTTTATTCTTTAACAAAACATGATACGTGGACTCAATAAGAAAAATAGACTATTATTATTTTAACGGAAACGTCGTTGTATGAAAAATAGAATATCTATAATACATTGGCCTTTAATGTTAAGGTCCATGGTTTAAATAATTCATTTTGTTAAAATAATAAAAATAAAATCTTTCCATTTCGTCCTCTTTTCATAATGCCTAAAGTTATAGGAAAAGCACATAAATAAAAATAGAATGGAGAGAATAGAACAAAAATAGTGAAGAAAGGGACAAAAGTAGATGCTAAACAATTTTGTGTAATGAAGTACCTTCTAACACTCGTATCTTTTGTCCAACAAATACTTATTACGTTCTAAAGTACTAAAAAAGTCACACCAATATCTCACAACCCCCCCTTTTCTTAGTTTCATTTCATATCCATCCATTGAAATTCCATCGAAAACAAAAAAGAAAAAAAAATCCTCCCATTAAAAAAAATATCGGAAGACTGACATCCTAACAAGTAACAAGACCTTATGTTGTCAATTTTTATCTTCCAATTTGTCTTGGGGGACCATTGCATATGGTGTACATGCATACTCTCCCCTCTCAAAAGATAAGGATAGGTCCCGGAGTTGAACCCCACGCTGCCCAAAACCTCAATAAGTGGAGTTGTGACCTTAAAAAAAAAAAAAAAAAAAAAAAAAAAAAAATTTTTGGGATCTTTTTTTTTTTCCATTTCCATATTAATAGACGTCATAAGTACTATGGAAGTACCGACAATTAACATAAAACTTTGATCAATACATAATTGTGTTTTGTTTTATTTTGTTTTTCAGTTGCTCTAGTCCAACCTTTGTACTCCCTTCAAAAGAAAAATGCTCTCTCATAATACAAGACAAGACATATTACATGATAGCTCGAATAATTGATTGATTAATTATTCGTTAAACATGTTCTATCAACAAATTGAGCTACCAACCAACCATCCATCCAACCATTCTAGTCCAAATCTACAAACTAGCCGCAAACCATCTTTTGCACATAATAAATGCAAATGTACTTTTCTCCTTAATTAATTGAGATTTAGAGCACTCTGAGTCTCCGTCTCTCCCTGATCTCTCACCGGTCGAAATCCCGGCTCCATTGTTCCCCTAACATTCAGCTCTAAACTGGGATTAATTATGGAACTCGGTTTCTCTTCTTGAAATGTGTCCAAACGACAAGAAGACTCCACTTTTATGTTACCAACAACAGGCTTCAACATCTGGCTTGTAGAAGTGCTAATGATGTTATTATTGTTGCTGCTGTGGACAAGCATGGAATTAGTTTCCTTAGCGTCAATATTGGAGTTATTATAACAAGGCATAACCGAAGGTAGCTTTGTGAGAATGGCTCCGAGGCTGCATGACATGGAAGGTAAGAGTGGTGGCATTTGCCAAAGGGGCGAACATTGTGATCCTGACATGCCGTTACTCTGTGGTGTGTTCCAACCCAAGTTGATGGACTTTGTCGGAGAATCATCGGATATTTCGTTGAACAATCTTTTCAAACCGGTTGGTTGGCGCTTCTCGTAGATTGAAATGGCTGTTTCTTGTGTTTCAATGATTTGGGTGGTGTTTGGTTTGAGAGAGTGAGGGTGTTGAATTGGTAGGTATGGCCTTTGCATGGCAAACACACCTGGTATGCTTTGAAGGTAGCTGAATTTCCTCTGTATGTTGATCACCAGATTGAGATCTTCCAAAATCTTAAAAAAAAATAATAAATAAAAATAAAAATAAAAACTTGTGTTGGTTAGTTAACAAACTGTAGAAAAATTTTAAAAGGAGGGATGGAAAAAGAGATCACAGAGCAAAAGAGAGAAACCTTGTCAAATGAGCCAAGTTGAATTATGCCTTCTCTAACCGAAATTATTGCTATAGTCTGGTAGAGTTAGAAAAGTCAGACAAGTTAATTCTTGGTTGGTTTGAATGGAATTGTAGACTGGTGTTGATTGTATTTCAAAAAAAAAAAAAAGGGCGTCATTTTCTGTGATTGGAAAGTTATACCAACCTGAATGCCTGACTTGAATTGAAACTCCCATGCTCTTGGTTGCTGTAGGTAGAGGAATTTGAAAAAAAAATAAAAATAAAAATAAGGACTAAGGAAAAAAAAAACCAGTGATACTTGTGTTTTGTATTAATTTTCTAAGAAAACAAAATTGAATTGGCTTACGGGTTCAATGGACACATTCCATGAGGAAATGAAGTTAGGATCACCCTCATTTGATGGATCCCTGAAAACCCATTTGTGACTATTATCTGCTGCCACTTTCCCCACTAAGCTGCAACCATTAAACCAATCTCAAATTAATGTGCTTCTTTGACCTTAAATAACATATTTATATAGTTTCAAACAGAAATATAGTTTGAATTCTCACCCTTCTCCATAGTTATAAACTTCATGTGACATTTTGAAGAAGACATCAGCTCCAAACCTCCCTCTAAGGTATCCACTACCCGCTTGTTCACATTCGTACAAGTCACAATATCCATCTTCCCAAACCAGAATCCTGCAGTCCAAACATAATTAACCACATTAATTCATCAAACTTAGTAACCTTAATCTTGTCACAATTCTATAGTGTTTTTTTTTTTTTTTTTTTACCAGTTCCTTTTGTTTCCTTTGGAACGGTCAAGAGCACTCCCTCCATAATCCCACCTGCAATATCAAATAATGTTAAACAAAGCAATAAATTACTCACATTAGATTAGCTTATAATAATGAAAACTTGAACAAACTAAAAGGCCTTTCAAAGTAAAATCTCTTACTTGGGAGGAGGATAATTCCGAGGCAAGATCCTCCAAAAGACTGCGTAGACCCATTTGGAAGAAGCTGAAGTCTCTGAATGTGAACAGAGGCTTCTCAGAGTGTGCTGCAACAGACAGTTAAGCATGGGAAGTCCACTTTCCATTGTCTCACAGAGAGAAAGAGACACAAACACAAAAACATAGAGAAAAGTATAATAAGCAAGCATTGTACTCTCCTAGCCGCCCATTACAATTATATAAAGGAAAGAAGCAAAAAAAAAAAAAAAAAAAAATATGGGGTGCGTTTAGAACTCGTTCTAAAATAATTTTATTTTTTTTGTATAAAAAGAAAAATGAAAACGTTTTCAATCTTAGACAGAAATTATTTTTGAAAATGTGTTTGGTAGTTTTATCAAGAGATTATTTTCAGTGTAAAAAAACAATTAATGTCTCTCCAATCTTAGACAGAAATTATTTTTAAAAATGCGTTTAGTAGTTTTATCAAGATATTATTTTCAGTGTAAAAAAACCATTAATGTCTTTCTTTCTCTCTCTACTCGAGAGAAGAGAAAATGAAAACAAAAAATGAAAAATAACTAGAAGTCATTTTTTATTTATCTCTCATTTTACACTAAATCAAAGAATCATTTTCATTTTTATTTTTTGTCTTTATTGTGTCAAATACCGTTTTGAGAACGTTTTTATTTTTTTTTTATAAAAATATGAAAAATAAAAATAAAATCAATTTCAATCACGACCATGCTAATTAAATATATATATATATATATAGAAATCAATTTCAATCACGACCATGCTAATTAAATATATATATATATGTATATATGCCCACGCGCAGCTGGTTGTGAACTACGCATACGCATCAAACAGCCCAACTGTACATTGGCCCCATGCAAGTTGTTTTTATGGGGGGACCTTGAATATTTACGACACAAGAGAGAGAGAGAGAGAGAGAGAGCTGCCTAGCAAGACAATTTTTAACGATCAAACTGGTGGTCGACTTCAATACAGCGTGCAGCAATGTATCATTTCATTTGTAAGCACAATATGTTATATGTATATATATGTGTGTATATATATGTATGTGTATCTATATATATAATATTACAATTCCATAATTCTGAATTTCTGAGTCTTCCTCACCTGGCCTGGAATGTTAATCAGAGGGACGAGGAAGTGCGTTGCAACGTTTTTCTTCCTTTTTTGCTCCAATCTCATCTCTTTGGTTGTATATACACTAGGGACTATCAAATCCTAGTAATTAAATGAAAAAAATAAAGAAGTTAAAAGTTTACTCGAACGAAGAGGCGTAGAAAAGTCTTGGGATAACGATTGGCTTTGGTTATGTCCTTCAATGATTAGCAGTTTACTATTGTAGCATAACAAATTTTACTGCTACGCAATTTATTAGAGAAAACTACCGAGCAGACTTTCCCTTCAAATATTAAGATCTTGTTCATTTCACCGATTCGAGTTTTGTTATAGTAAAAAACTCTCAGAAATAATGACATTTAATTTTTTTGCTACAGTAAAAAACTCTCACATAAAGTCACATCTCAACTCAAATTAAAAACTCAAATCAGCAAATTAAACAGATACAAGTTGGTGCATGGGAAATGGGATTTAGATTCTAACAAACACAAATCCAAATCAAGTTTAGGCCTCGGAATACAAATATTCCTTAATTGTCTCAAAAAACCACATCGCTTAACTGTCATTATTTAGCTGCTTACATCACTATAATAGTGTAAGAGGGTTTGTCTACTAGTTGCAGTGGTCCTCAAACGGGGATATCATCAGCTCCCATTGCTATAAGTCACAAAAATTTGTCCATATAACGGCATTGGGCCCCGCGCTGCAATTGTTGCGCACGAAATTTCATCTCTCCTCTACTTTGATCCAACTTTTTTTGTTCTTTATTTTATAAGTCTAGGCTGGCATTGGAACATATCAGATGTGAATCCGGCTAAAGTTGCTGTCTGGTTCTGGATTCTGGAAAACCACCAAAACAATTTTTTGTTCTCATGGGAGTTCAATTCACCACACAAGTCCCACAAATGGCACAACTTGCTCTCACCAGATTGAACCTGGATGTACCCTTTGATCCTGCGAGAACACTTTTTACGCATTTAATGAATTTTGGATTACCCTTTTGAGAAGCTTCCTACAGTTTTATTTATTTATTTATTTTATTTTTTTGGGTGTAAATTTAGCATTTTGTTGGTGCATTTTCAGCACCAAATATCAGACGTCCCCCTAATGAATTAAAACTTGAAACAACAATATTACTAGGCACTGCAACGACTACGAGTGGTTCGCCACACTTAAGATTTATTTAGTTCGTTGATTTGGATTTTTAATTTAAGTTGAGATTTGACTTTATGTTAGAGTTTTTTACTATAGAAAAATAGTTAAATGTGACTCTTTTCTAGAGCTTTTTACTGTAGTAAAACTCAAATTAATGAAATAAACGGGGTCTTAAATTACATGTAGGGTAAAAACTTCATTTGATGTAGACAAGCCCAACTCCCAGGTTGTTCAGCAAGGGGCTTTAATTTGTAATGTTGTACAATTTTTCCCTAGCAATAAAAGAGAAGGGGAAAAAAAAAAAAAACAAGTGAAGACATTGACATGACCGGAGGGACACAAGTTAATACCTGGTAATGAAATCATGGCTTCAATTATGTATCTTTATTATAGGGTGTTCTTCTTATAGTTTGCCCCAGATTGAGAGCAAAAGAAAGAGATGACTACAAATATTAATTTGAGAATTGAGACCATGTACTATGTTAGGCGATTGGCGATTATAGTTCGAGATTGTTGTGTTCTTGAGAGCAAGTTCTACTTGTAGGAAAATAGAAATAAAAGCAGAAACCAAAAGTTAACTAGCTTCTCAAAATAACTGTAAAAGTGTAGTAGCGCATATGCAAAATAAGTTTATGCACTTTTACTATACACTATTTATTACAACTTTTGGTTTTGGGGCCTCCAAAACAACTTTGTAGTTCTACTGGCGACTTGAATTGTATAACCAGTAAGCCTGTAGGGCTTGGCATGGTTCCCATTACTTCCAAAAAGCGTGAATTATTATATCCACATACAGATATAACTATTTTCACATGAGATTATGATGTAGCACTACTTCCCTACGCATTGTATGGTTGTTGTTGTTGTTTTTTTTTTTTTTTTTTTTTTTTTTTTTTTTTTTTTTTTTTTGATAGAAGCGCATTGTGTTGCACTTGAATGACATGCTATCCTGCTTTTAATTTATGGTTTGGCTTTTTTTTTTTTTAAATAAATCATGGTTGAGGTTGTTATGACATTGATGGAGTCGCTAGTTGTAATTGACTACTACTATCTTGTCCGTCGGATCTTTTAACATGGAAATATTTTCTTTAATTTGCCTTCATTTTTCAGTGAAACGACATGTCACTTAATTCCTTGTATGCTAATAATTTCTATCGCTTAGTTCCTTAAGATAAATCCTTTGTCGTCTATAATTTTAGTGTCCAACAAGTTGAGATCCAGATAACGTATCTCATTTTTAGTGTCTCTGTTTAACTAATCATATTATAGCATGTCATTTATTGAACTCAAATTTTAAATCAGGAAATATGAGGTTAAACATTTTGGTGACACTCAGTTCGTGAACGACATGTCGTTTTGATTCTACAAGCAGAACATGTAAACGACATTTGTATGCAATTACTATTGTTGTTTAAGAAATAAACGACATTCTTATCCCTGGAAACTCTGACTGTCGTCTTCACATTTATTGTGAATCATTGCTTTTATCGTCTTCTTTTGAAAAATAATTGTCGCTGTTCGTAGCTTTTTTTCTCATCACTTTGTTGTTGTCGTTTAATTTTTCCTTCTTCATTTCTTTGTCGTCTATATCCTTTTTGTCGTTTTAGCACTGTATTTTGCCGTTTCCTCTTTTAATCACCTTATTTTTCAACGCGCTTGTCGTTTTCATCATGTTGTCGTGTTGTTGTTTATACAGTTCCTTGTCTTATAACTATATTGTCGTTTCATTTGGCTGTTGTTTATAATTATCTTTTTATTTCTAGTTGTTTTTCATCTTGTTGTCGTTTATTATTTTACGTTGTTTTTTTATATATATTACTTTGTGTCGTTTTGGTATGTCCATTTTTGTCGTTTTCCTGTTTTAACTGTTTTGGTGTCGCTAACTCGCTATTATATTATTTTGCCCTTTCCTCAATGTCGTCGTCTTTCAACTTTGCTCTTCCATGTAGTTTCGCCATCATTTTCAAAGTTATTATTTGCATTTGTCGTAGGTAAATTGTAGTTTCCAAACTTATTGGCCATTGATATCATTTTTATTTTTCACATTTTAAAAAAAAATGAAAACGTTTTTAAAACGGCGTTTGATGCAATAAAAACAAAAAAGGGAAATGAAAATGATTTTTTAGTTTAGTGTAAAATGAGAGAGAAATGAAAAATGACTTTTAGTCGTTTTTCATTTTTTATTTTCATTTTCTCATCTCTTGAGCAGAGAGATATTAATGAGTATTTTTTTACACTGAAAACAATCTCTTGATAAAACTACCAAACGCATTTTTAAAAATAATTTTTGTCTGAGATTGAAAATGTTTTCATTTTTATTTTCATATAAAAAATAAAATCATTTTGAAACGAGTTCTAAACGCGCCCATTATCTTTCTTTTTCATCTTCTTTTTAATTAGTTCACTCTCCTCCGCCACGTTCCCGTCGTTCAGATTTTTGACCCACATTTTTTGTTTTGCGTTCCCTGTTTTGAAGTTACTACCATGATGTCATTTTTCATTTTGTTGTCATTTTTCCGCTGTTGTTTATTTTTTTAAAATAAAATTTTATATCATCTGTTAGAGTAAAATTTCCTCAAACATTGTGATGTTTGGTAGAAGGATTCGTTCCCTGATTCGAATCATGATTCGTGGTTCGCTACAGTATTTTCTCTCACAAAAAATACACGTAAATCAAAAATAGTTCTAATCCATGAACCAAACGGACTTAGCCAACCTCTCTAGATTAAATATTTAGATTGAACAAACAAATTATCTAAGAAATTTAAAAAAAACACTCAAAGAACACAAATAATCTCAGAAAAATAATAAGAGCAAAGTGAAAACAATCATAAGACAATTATATTCAAGAATGAGTTTTTCTTTTCCTCCTAAACTGAG